TTCCTTCTGCCAGACTACCATCCCTCCTACTCAGATGCTCTGCCCCCAGCACTTCATTCCTTTGTTAATCCTGCTTCTCTTCCATAACTTTTCTAGTTCTTACCTAATTTGAGTACACTAGAATTGCACATAAATATGGGTCCTTTTGGGGTGGACACACAACAGCATGACTTTCTAATTATCTCCTTTTAATTCCTAATATACAGTTTACTTTTACGGGGCAAATACTGCTGAGCACTACATTATTTTACCATACACCCATGATATTTTCTGAGTAGCAACAGTTAACTCAGGCCCTGTTATTACAGAATGATGAGGGATTTTTTTTTATGTGTGCATTGCCTGATTTTTATCTGTATTAAATGTATCACTCATTAGGTCATCCAGTCAATCAGCAATTCAAGGTCTTTTTGCAAAGCAGCCTGATTTTATTACCCCAAATAACTCTGTGCCACTGACAAACCATCTTCTCCTGGTACTCTCCAATTAGTCTTCCTTAACAAATTCCTAAAATCCAGGACATTTCTCCACCCTCCTGTTGCCATCAGGACATCCACCCATGGCCTCACAGTACTTCTACCGGCAATTTATCATCTGTATCAAAGATCAACTCATTTTGCCAACAGGTTATTCCTCCAAGTTTAACCCTCTAGAAAAGAGTATCTCACACTTCTTTAAGTCAGTCTCTTCCTTARTGTGTTGCACCTGGACAGCAGCACCAACTCTAACTGCCCCAAATATTTTATTCTCTCAAACGAAAACCCAATCTCCTGAGAGCTTTTTTTAAGCATCATTCCCACAAAACAAATTGCAGGCAAACTTTTAGGCTCATTGAAAACTCAATTGTGTTCCATCCTAGTGAATTTCTAAGGAGAAAGGCAGTTTCTCTGAAGGAAATATGTTTTTTAAGAAGATGCATACTGTTCTGGAGATCTGCTGTGCCTGTAGCACCCACCTTATAATGGTATTTTGAGAAATACTGGTCTTGGGGATCTCTGAACACACATTTTCAGAACAGATTGAGAAAACAGCCACAGAACTTATGCAAAAGCTGCTTGAGGCTCCACAAATATTGCAAAACCTTCCCCTTTCGCCTTAGAGAGTCACCTGTGTCACCACGTGACCCATCCATCAGCTTTACTCCTTTGGTCCCTTTTCACCTTAGAATTTTACTGCTGTTTTCTGCTTGCCTTTTCCACATATGGAAAAGTTAAAAACAAACAATAAAAAGTCCCAGAAACAAAGTCCTAATGAGAACTGCAGGAAGCTTCAATTGTAACTGAAATCAAGAACAAAGCCCTGATCACATCAAATGTAAAATATATGCGGAAAAAAATAAACTGTTTTTTTAAAACTGCATTTTCTTCCCTTTAAAGGGAAAAACTTTATCACACACTGTTGGAATGGTGTTGTAACTCCAGGTCTGTGGGTATCCTGACCTAGCCTGTGCATTCTGACACAAGAGCAGCTCTGGTGACTCAGTGCAGGAGCATCGCAGGACTTACCAGTGCAGCAGGGCACTTGGAAGGGGAATTGATTTTCCTGGCTTTCTRGCATATACCTTCCAMTGAGCCCATCTACCRTAGTCTGGAAGTGCCACTTTTGGGYGCAGAGAGGACCCCTGGTTGATCAGGGACAAGAGCTAAGATGGCTTTTCTRTATTTACATAGTGGTGATGTAAGAAGATGAGATCCTCTCTACCTTTTTCCTACAGAAATCCAGGACAAACTGCCTGAGCTCCTGCCAAAACCACAGRCAGCCCAACCTTTCCACTGAAACACCAGACAGAAAGAAGCTATGAACTCACCTTGGGTATTTTGGCAAATCGCCCCACTCGGGTGTCTCTGATGCTGGTGATATCYAGAATTTCCCTTTCCTACAACAGAATAAGGACAAGGAAAATGAGGAAAGACAAAGGAGTAAGGAGAGCACTCCATGACAGAGCCCTCAGAAGCTGTAAAGGAGGTTTGGGTTAGTGTCTTTCCCTGTGRAAGCGCTCTCCCAGCAGGAACAAGGCAGGCAGGGAAGCCATTTCCATGGAAGACACTGCACAGCCTTCCCCAGGCAGCCCCTCCACACTMCTGGCTTGTTGTCYTGTTTGTTCTTTTAATATCCAACCTGAATTTCCTTCCTCTGTTACTAATTTTTCTTACCATGGGTCTGGAGAACAAATTATACTTGTTGCAGCAGATAATATTTCCCAAGACCTCAATACAACACAATGTGGATGCCATGTCTTCTGGCTGTATCCCCATTTTCTTGTTAAGCAGGAGAGCAATTTTACTCCTAATCCCACTACTTTCTGAGTCCCTRGTGCAAAAGCAGTTCACTTTACTTTAGCTGCTAATCAACAGCATTTTCCAGGAATCCAAGACTCCTTCCAGTCTGTGTTTCCTTGTGGCAGCTATGCTTCCTTCCCCCAGCCCCCTTCCCAGGTATCCCAACAAAGTATCTCCCTTTCCACGGTAACACCAGCTGCCCTTGGCTCACTTTGTGCTCCACTTCTTCCTGCTGGAAGCCCTAAAGCAGAAATTCTACCGCCCAAGTGGACCTTGAAAGCAGAACAGGAGTGAGAGAGACATCGAGGGGTGTGACAGTCCCAGTCTTGTGACACTGCTCGCTGTTGCAGTGCCTGATCCCAGCTGGCACTGGGCACAGTCTCTGGAAAGGCAGAGCTCACCCACACCCTCAGGTCCCTGGCCAGGGCCTGTGGAGGACAGTCTGACTCTGCCACAGCATGTARGTCAGGCAGAGGAAGTAGAGCTGAACCACAGCTCTACTCTTCTGCTCTTGAAAGCAGAAGTAAGCCCAGCCTTCCACCTCCCTCTCCACTTGATGCTACTCATCAGTGGGGAACTGAAGTCTCTTTCCTTCATGTGTTGCCTCTCCCTCTCCTCCAGCAGCTGGCATTCTGTGCTTTGTTCCAGCAGCCTGCACACATCACCCTGAGCACAGCTCACTCACTCTCCAGTCTYCCCTACATCACTRTGGCCRCTACTTTTTAATTAGAATGTCTAAMACCCCAACGAGTCTGTTAATGGCCCTGCTGTACACGTTGGGAGAATCCTGTATCTTGCAGGGTGACAGGGATATCAGCACAACTGTTCTCTGTGAAGTCCTTTGAAGGACATGAATGAGCTGTGCAGGAGTCAAAACACCAGCATGACAGGAACAGAGGCCACACTCACACTTTCCGTTCTTGCTCTTTCCTGGTACTGTGAAAACCAACCTGCCACTGACTTATTCCTGCTCCTTGGGAGGGTGTCCTTGCTGAGAGGAATGAGCAGTTTGCTCCCAAGTACAGGATCATGCTTTTGTGGCGTTTTGATCTCACACCAACCTGGGCCTGGCTGATTGGAGCCCAAGCTGTGCAGTCTCAGCACTTACCGTGCTCTGATGGGTCCAGTACACGTAAAAGCCTTTGGGATCCACTCGGAGAATCACAGGAGAAGCAGTTGATGTTTCCTAACAAAAAAATAAAACAACAAAAGAAAGAATGTTGGCATCTTGGGTGACTTGTAGAAAACATCCTAGGACAYGAGGTTCCTAGTTCAAATATGAACCTGGGCAGGTGAACACCCTCTGGGATTTATGGAAATTAACCCAAGGATTTTAGGACCTCTCCAGAGTGACAGCGTGAGACTCTGGAAGCTGAAGCCCAAGTCTCACCTGACCCGTGCATTTAACAAGAACAGCTCTCTTAGAGCTTTCTGCACTAAGAGAACAAAGTATCTGGAGATTCAATTGATTGCAACAACAAGGCTGGTGAAGGGCCAGTGTTCCAAGCCCTATGAAGAGTGGCTGAGGGAGCTGGGGTTGTTTAGCCTGGAAAAAAGGAGGCTCAGGGGCGACCTTTTCACTCTCTACAACCTGAAGGGTGGTTGTGGTCAGGTGGGGGTCAGTCTCTTCTCCCAGGCAACAACCAAAAGAACAAGAGGACACAGTCTTAAGCYKTGCCAAGGGAAGTGTAGGTTAGATATTAGAAAAAAAATTCTTCACTGTAAGGGTGATCACACATTGGAATTGTCTGCCCAGGGAGGTGGCACACTGTCCCTGGACACATTTAAAWAAAGCCTGGAAGTGGCACTCATTGCCATGGTTTAGGTGATGAGGAGGTGTTGAGCCATAAGCTAGACCTGATCTTGAAGGTCTCTTCCAGCCTAGTTAATTCTGTGTGCGATTCTGTGTGTTTCATTTGAACAGTCTTCCTTCACCTGCTTTGTTCTTCAAGCTCAGGAGTAGCCAAGGCCAAGCACAGAGAACATTCATCCGTGGCAACTTCCATGCAGGTTCTYATGCTGATTATCTGGGCTCCTAGTCAGGAAAGCTTCAAGGAGGGGGCCATCAATGCAGCATCRTTATGCTACTTTAAGTGAAAATTCTGAGACTCCACAGACTGTCTCTACACAGACCATCCAAACACACACACCAGAGGTGCTGATCCTGAGCCCCACGCAGCCATTTCTGGGAAGGCTCCAAATTCAATTCAGGAAGCTGAAACATCTCACTGCTGAGATGAAACCAGTAATGAAATTTAGAAGTTGTCCTTGTCCCTTGACCTCAGGTTCTTCAGTCTGTTACTCAGACACTATACTACTTCAGTCYAGAGTGTATCTGTATTTTCAGGCACCTCCATTTCCATACTCAATACTGACAATAAACTGCTCAMTCCCCCTTACGTGGTCCTTTTATTCCCTCCTGTCCTCCTCCTGCTGTGTTCCAGGGCCAGTGCTGGCCTGCCCATCATCATGTCCATGTTGCCAGAGCTCTTGGCTGACTCCCTGCACTCGTGGCCTTGGAGAGCAGAACAGGGCACACAGTACCAGCAGAGTATTGTGCCATGTTCTAGATTACCCTTATCTCCCACAAAGCAGCTTTCTGGGGGGCAAGCTGAGGCAGCAAGGAAGCTGCTGCCAGCCGGGCTCCTGGGCAGGGCCGGGGYTGCTTGGGGGTGCAGACAGGCTCTCCTGTGGGCACCTCTCAGCAGCTGAGCTGGCTGCTGCCCACTGTGTGGGGAGAAAGCAAACACTGTCTGCTAAAATCCTGTAAGCCACAATCTTTCAGAGACAAGAACAGTTCTGCCTCTACTACAAGGACCCAGAGTCAGCATAGAGCCAAACCCACACCCATCTGCCCCACTCAAGAGTTCAGCTACTACCCTGTGTCCTACCTGGGGTTTTGACAGGGTTCCTGGCTGGTTCTTGAASTCAGCTACCACCCATGGAGACAGTGCCTTACCAAAGCTGGACAAGGTGAGGGCTCWGCCAAAAAAG